AACTGTCCCCGTAGCAGTCCCCACGCTGGTGGCATCCTCATGTTTCTTACTCCTTTAGAAGCCCACTCTTTGGAAAAGGTCTGATGAATTTCCTGACAGTGGTAAGGAGTATCACCCGAAAGGTTCTGGGTCGTCCCTCCCAGATGTACTTGCACTGTGATAACAGACATAGCCTGAAGTCACAGGAGAGGCTCCTGACTCTGCAGAGCCTGTGGGAGGTGGAGTGGAGGTGAGACTGAGGGCCATCTCAGGAACTCTGAGAGGACAGCAGATGGACAGGATCCACGCTGGTGACTGTTCCTTATTTCTTGTATGGACACCCTCCCTGCCACTCCTCTCTGGCCACTGAGTGGCTGGTTAGTCCACCCTATCCTGGTGGGAACCGGCCACCCAGCCTGCTCCTCACTTACTGCACCATTTTGCATCCTTTAATAATGGGCAAATCTGTGTATCTCTTGGGAGTGTAGACTCCTTAAGGGTAAGGATTGGGTCTTTTCTTTCTAGTGCTCCTAAGTGCTTGCTGTGAAGCTGCAATAGTCTGAATGTTCATGTCCCCATGGAATTCATACATTGAAACAATCCCCAGGGCGATAAATAGTATGAAGAGGTGGGGCCTTTCGGAGGTGACGAGCTCGTGAGGGCAGAGCCTTCATGTATGGGGTTACTATCCTTACAAAAGAAGGTGCTCGTTCACCCCTTCTGCCACGTGAGGACTCAGCAAGAAGGTGCTACACACGAAGCAGAACAATCCCTCACCAGACACTGAATCTCCTGGTGCCTTGATCCTGGACTTTCCAGACTCTAGAACTGTGAGTAGTAAATTCTGTCATTTATAAGTTACCCAGTCCAGGGTGTTTTTTAAATACTAGTCTGAGTGGACAAAGACACAGGCTTTGTAGCCAAACGGTGAAGCAGTACACCTATCTCAGAGCTGTCTAGTCTTCCACGGGTCTCCGGTTAGCCTTGTGGAGCAGACTATTTTCCGAAAATAACCACAGCAACCTCTCTGCTCTCAAGTGCTTTTTCAGAATCGTTCCACTCCCCATCAAGATGTGGCATCTAGCTGGGCGTGGTGGCTCACGCCTGCAATCCCAACACTTTGGGAGGCCGAGGCAGGCGGATCACTTGAGGTCAGGAGTTCAAGACTAGTCTGGCCAACATAGTGAACCCCCATCTGTACTAAAAAATACAAAATTTAGCCAAGCATGGTGGTGTGCACCTGTAATCTCAGCTACTAGGGAGGCAGAGGCAGAGAATAACTTGAACTCTGGTGACAGAGGCTGCAGTGAGCCGAGACCATGCCACTGCACTCCAGCCTAGACAACACAGCAAGACTCCATCTCAAAAAAAAAAAAAAAAAGGAAAAAAAAGAGGTGGAGTCTATTTTCTCTCCCCTTAACCTAGGCAGGTCTCTGTGTCTGCACTGATAAATAGGGTGCAGCTGAAGTGATCCAGGGTGACTGCCAAGGTTTCATGAAGACCGAAGGCCTCTGCCTGGCTGGTTCTTGTTAAGCTCACCCTGAATATCATTAACACCGTGCTATGAGTGACCCCAGCTAGCCTGAGTAAAGAGACCACATGGAGAGGTGTATGGAAAGGAACGGAGACTCCCCGCCCCCAGCCAACAGCCAGCACGGACCACAGGCAGGGGAGCCAGAGTCTACAGAGGATCCCAGCCCCAGGCCCGAAGCCTTCCAGTGGAGGTCTGACACTGCGGAGCACACACAAACTGTTTGCCTCCTCCAAAATCCTGATGTGCAGAAGCCATGAGCATAAGAAATGATAGCTTCCTTCCATTGAGTTTGGGGGTGATTTGTTCTACAACTCTAGTCACCAGAACATTGGGAAATAATGGACAAGCTCCTTCTCTTTGGGCCTGGTGTTTCTTGTCATTCAGGTCCATTTCACAGAAAGTGAGAAGGAAGAACAGGAACACTTCCACTTCCCCTTCCCCTAGCCTGCCCTCCCGCATTCCTCATTCCTTCTTTTTTTTTTTTTTTTT